GTGAACTGTGTTTACGTGTGATCAGGGGTGTATTCATTTCGGCGATTCTGTTGAAACATTTTTCTTAATGATTACACCCTAGATCAGATACATGCAGGCAAGAGTGTGCAAGGCGGTATTGAATGTGTCACTCTCTGTCACCTTGATTACAAAATATTATCTCAATGTGCACCTACGTTATGAACTTTCATTCATAGGCTAGGTTGTAGCAACCTCATGATGGGTACAATGACAACGTTAGTATCATTTAGTAGCCTAAACCTATCGATGTTACATTGAACTGGGTGAATGGAATATGAATGACAGTCATCCAATATCCTGTAATTGAAATAAGGCTGTGCTCATGAACGACCACCACTGTTCCACACGTAAGGTGCAAGGAACTTAAAGGCTGATTTACTTAACTCTGGACACCAAAGGAGTCTCCAGAGTTAACCAACCCTGGCTTGATAACGTGTCATTTTAAATCTTAACAGTGATGTTAGGTAAGTCGGAAGTTTTGTGGAACAGGGCTTTGTAAACAAAAAGAGGGTAACAGTGGATGCTGTTGAGGGGAGGATGGCTCATAATAATGGCTGGAACGGAGTGAATGGAATGGCATCAAACACATGTGTTTGATGTACAGGAGCAGTCAAAAGTTTGGACACACCTACTCATTCAAGGGTTGTTCTTTATTTTTTACTATTTTCTACATTGTAGAATAACAGTGAAGACATCAAAACTATGAAATAACACATATGGAATCATGTAGTAAGAGTATGCCAAGAGTGTGCTAAGCTGTCATCAAGGCAAGGGTGGCTATTTGAAGAATCTCAAATATAAAATATATTTTGATTTGTTTAACACTTTTTTGGTTATTACATGATTCCATATGTGTTATTTCATAGTTTTGATGTCTTCACTATTATTCTACAATGTAGAAAAATAAAAAAAAAATAAAGAAAAACCCTTGAATGAGTAGGTGTGTCCAAACTTTTGACTGGTAATGTATTTGATAACATTGCACTTATTCGGCTCCAGCCCATTGCCATGAGCCCGTTCTCCCCAATTAAGGTGCCACCAACCTCCTGTGGAGTGTAATGATGTGATCTACGTGACTTCAAAGAGGTCCAGCCAACTTTTCGGTAAATAATACAGTGATTAGTAATAAAACTGCCTCCTGTGATAAAAACGAAGGGCGCTATGAAAAATGACATCCAAGGCTTTAAGAGTAGATGCAGCTGCACTTTAATAAATACTATCACCATAATCAACAACAGGTAGAAATGTTGACTGCACAATGTTCTTCCTGCTGACTAGAGAGAGAGAGAGAGACAAGATCTGTTTCTCTAATAAAAAGCCCACTTTAAATCTTAGTTTCTTAAGAAGCTCAGTCATATGTTTTTTTAAACTATATATCATTGTCAATCCAATTACCAAGGTATTTTTGTATGCAGGGACTCGTTTGATTATAGAACCATCCGATGAGTAAAGATGTAATCCATCTGAGACAATCTTATGAGAACTTGAAAACAACCATGTATTTAGTTTTGCCTGTATTAAGTATGATCAGTAAGGGCTTTCTACACAACTGTAAAATCAGACTTTCACAGCCAGTCAGCAGTGGGGGCAATTGAGTACTTAATAATATCATCCACATATATATTATTTTATTTTTTATTTTTTATAGATTGACCAATATCATTTATATAAATAATGAAAAGAACAGGTCCTAGTATAGACCTCTGCGGAACACCTTAATGTACTTCAAGAAAATAGGACTTAACCCCATAAATCACGATGGCCTGAGTTCTGTCACTAAGATAATCATGAAACCATGAACAGGCATCAAAAGGTCAGGCCTATCGAGGACAACTGATTCGAGAAAAAAATTGCATGATCAACAGTATCAAGAGATTTTGACAGGTCCACAAACAAAGCAGCACATTTCATTTTAGTGTCTATGGCACTGACAAGATAATTAACAACTAAAGTGGTTGCTGTAATAGTTATGTGCCCAGGCCTAAACCCTGATTGGTTAACATTCAAGATACATTTCTCAGATAAAAATGAGCAGTTGTACATTTACCAAGGATTCAAGAAACTTAGCTAGAGAAGGAAGCCTTGAAATGGGGCAATAATAATTAAGATCATTACTATCCGTGGCCTTATGGAGTGGCAGCACAAGAGCAGATTTCCATACTTTTTCAATATTTCCTGATAACAATGTTAAATAAAGAATGTGGGTTATTGAGACAACAATGATGGGCGCTGCACACTTAAGCAGACCGGAATCCAATTGGACGGCCCCTGTGGATTTCTTGTTGTCAATTGCTAGCGAAGCATCCAGGAATTATTTTTCTCTAAATAATTTGAATTAGCCTTCCTAATTTGTCTTACACAATAATTCCTCAGTTTCTTAAAAGCTTGCCAGCCCGGGCTTAAGCCTGTGTTGCTGGCCTTGACCCTAGCATAATCTCTTTTATTAATGACTTCGGATAATTCCAGAGTGTACCAGGCATTCGATCTACCTTTAACCCTTTTTGAAGGGAGCATGATTGTCCACAATAGTTTCGAAGGCATCTGCAAAGAGGCTCAAAGCTAAATCAGGTTCAGGGATAGCTGAAATACAATCAAGTTCACTAAAATAAAGGTAATGTAAAAAAGCCTGTTCACTGAAGTTTTCAAAGTTCCTCTTTGTGACGACACGAGGCTTAGATGTTTGTATTCTCACGTCTCTATCTCAAACAACCGGGCAACGGTCACTAATGTCTTGGGTGAAGACACCTGTAGAAACATATTTCTCTGGTGTATTTGATTAGATAAGATCAATCAGAACAAACAAGCTACGTTCAATAGGTGATTGCAGGCCCTGTCTGATGGTTGATATTCATATACAGTGCATTCGGAAAGTATTCAGACCCTTTGACTTTTTCCACAATTTGTTATGTTAGAGACTTATTCTAAAAGTGATTAAATAAAAATGTCCCCTCATCAATCTACACACAATAACCCATAATAACAAAGGAAAAACAGGTTTTAAGAAATGTTTGCAAATGTATAAAATAAAATAAAATGGAAATACCTTATTCACATAAGTATTCATACCCTTTGCTATGAGACTTGAAATTGAGCTCAGGTTCATCCTGTTTCCATTGATCATCCTTGAGATGTTTCTACAACTTGATTGGAGTCCACATGTGGTAAATTCAATTGATTGGACATGATTTAGAAAGGCACACACCTGTCTATATAAGGTCCCACAGTTGACAGTGCATGTCAGAGCAAAAACCAAGCCATGAGGTCGAAGGAATTGTCCGTAGAGCTCCGAGACAGGATTTTGTCGAGGCACAAATCTAAGAAAGGGTACCAAAACATTTCTGCAGCATTGAAGGTCCCTAAGAACACAGTGGCCTCCATCATCATTAAATTGAAGAAGTTTGGAAACACCAATACTCTTCCTAGAGCTGGCTGCCCGGACAAACTGAGCAATCGGGGGAAAAGGGAGGTAATCAAGAACCCAATGGGCACTCGGACAGGGCTCCATAGTTCCTATGTGGAGATGGGAGAACCTTCCAGAACGACAACCATCTCTGCAACACTCCACCAATCAGGCCTTTATGGTTGAGTGGCCAGACAGAAGCCACTCCTCAGTAAAAGGTACATGACAGCCCAATTGGAGTTTGCCAAAAGGCACCTAAAGGACTATCAGACCATGAGAAACAAGATTGAACTCTTTGGCCTGAATGCCAAGCGTCACGTCTGGAGGAAACCTGGCACCATTCCTACGATGAAGAATGGGGGTGACATCATCATGTTGTGGGGATGTTTTTCAGCGGCAGGGACTGGGAGACTAGTCAGGATCGAGGGAAAGATGAACGGAGCAAAGTACAGACAGACCCTTGATGAAAACCTGCTCCAGAGCACTCAGGACCTCAGACTGGGGTAAAGGTTCCCCTTCCAACAAGACAACGACCCTAATCACACAGCCAAGACAACGCAGGAGTGGCTTTGGGACAAATCTCTGATTGTCTCTGAATTTCCTTGAGTGGCCCAACCAGAGCCCGGACATGAACCCGATCGAACATCTCTGGAGAGATCTGAAAATCGCTGTGCAGCGACGCTCCCCATCCAACCTGCCAGAGCTTGAGAGGATCTGCAGAGAAGAATGGGAGAAACACCCCAAAATACAGGTGTGCCAAGCTTGTAGCATCATACCCAAGAAGACTCGATGCTGTAATTGCTGCCAAAGGTGCTTCAACAAATTACTGAGTAAAGGATCTGAATACTTATGTAAATGTGATATTTCAGGGGGTTTCTTTGGAATAAATGTGCCAAATTTCTACCAAAATGTTTTTTGCTTTGTCATTATGGGGTATTGTGTTTAGATTAATGAGGGGAAAAAATTATTTAATCAATAATTTAATCAATTATTTAATCAAATTAATCAATTTAATCAAGACTTTCCGAATGCACAATAACACTTGAAATGTCTATATTTTTTAAACCTTTTTGAGTGTAATGTTGACTGTTAATTTCTACTCGTTTTTTGTTTATGTTAAATTTGTTTCTTCTCAGTTTTTTTTATTGGTTATTTCACTTGCTTTGCCAATATAAATGTATGTTTGCCATGCCAAAAAATCCCCTCTAAATTGAATTGATTTTAATTGAATGAGAGAGAGAGAGAAGAGGAGAGAGAGAGAGAAGAGAGAGAGAGAGAGAGCGAGAGAGAGGAGAGTAGAGATAGAGCAGAGAGAGAGAGAGAGAGAAGAGCAGAGAGAGGAGAGACAGATAGGAGCCCAGAGAGAGAGCCAGAGAAGATAGAGAGAGACAGAGAGAGAAGGGAGAGAGAGGAGAGGGAGAGAGATAGGGGAAGAGAGAGAGGGAGAGAGAGAGAACGAAAGACAGAGAAGCGATAGAGAGAGAGAGAGAGAGAGAGGTAAGGTAGGAGGGAGAGTGAATGGTGAGGATGTGAGAAGGATGCTTTCCCTCCTCAAGGACAGAAGGTTGACGAGAGGCTAATGATCGGTGGCAGCTCAGTCAACCGGTGAATTCATATAGGCAAACAGCACAGCAGTACTTAAGGAAAACTCCATACAGCCAAGCAACCAGCCAGCTGAGACTGAACTCTGGAGTCTGATGTGCTCTCTTCATGCAACATGCACATGTAAGACTGAAAGTTTAGGAAAGAGGATATACAGTCCTGTGGGTCCCCATGCAGAACGTGTAGGTATGAGAGAACAGTCCTGTGGGTCCCCATGCAGAACGTGTAGGTATGAGAGAACAGTCCTGTGGGTCCCCATGCAGAACGTGTAGGTATGAGAGAACAGTCCTGTGGGTCCCCAAGCAGAACGTGTAGGTATGCGAGTTAACAGGGGGTCACTGAATTCATATAAGAAACACTCTGGGGAAACATTTTGGGAAAAATCAATCCAGCACCAAGAGTGTCAACTGCCCTTTCAGGATAGGTTCACCACAAATGTAATAGAACTCCAGCCAGCACCACTGACTGCACCCAGCAGAGAACCCTGCTGAGATCCCTGCTGAGATCCCTGCCGTGGGTCTGGACTGAGATCCCTGCCGTGGGTCTGGACTGAGATCCCTGCCGTGGGTCTGGACTGAGATCCCTGCCGTGGGTCTGGACTGAGATCCCTGCCGTGGGTCTGGACTGAGATCCCTGCCGTGGGTCTGGACTCTGGAGTCAGTGTGTGTTTTTTTTTTACCATTGCAACAGGGGGTCACTGTCTCGGATGTTATCAGGATCAGGGACAGACCTTGGGTTTAATCTTCTAACACGACCACCGGGCTGGAGTCGACATGCTTCATTATACAGAGTAAAGGGAGCTGTCGTTATCTCTGGAAGTACTGTATAGGCATTGGGTGGTAAACAGTGAATCGGCTTCGTTGTCTCATGTAATGAGATTGTTGAGTAAAAAGCATGAGCTGATGCACACCCAAAGATGTTTGGGGAGGTGCTGACTAACGGAACAGTAAACTGTGTAGAAAGAAAGAAAGAAAGTTGCACACTATATTATTGACATGGTCCCAACAATTGAATGGGTAAAGAGAAAATATGTATTTTGAAAGTACAGTGTATTGACCACAGCCATATGCGGGAGTCTATTGTATCAGTTTACTTTCCCTGCCAAAAGGGTGCAAGTAATATTATGCACCAACGCTTCCGTGGCATGAAATGTACCCTTTCTCTCCTGTGAAATTAGCTAAATGTCAGTTCCACCCTTCTGGTCTCTCCTCCCTCATACTGTCCTGAAGACACAGAGTCCTGAAGACACAGAGTCCTGAAGACACAGAGTCCTGAAGACACAGAGTCCTGAAGACACAGAGTCCTGAAGACACAGAGTCCTGAAGACACAGGGTCCTGAAGACACAGAGTCCTGAAGACACAGTGTCCTGAAGACACAGAGTCCTGAAGACACAGGGTCCTGAAGACACAGAGTCCTGAAGACACAGAGTCCTGAAGACACAGAGTCCTGAAGACACATAGTCCTGAAGACACAGAGTCCTGAAGACACAGAGTCCTGAAGACACAGAGTCCTGACGACACAGAGTCCTGACGACACAGAGTCCTGAAGACACAGAGTCCTGACGACACAGAGTCCTGACGACACAGAGTCCTGAAGACACAGAGTCCTGACGACACAGAGTCCTGAAGACACAGAGTCCTGAAGACACAGGGTCCTGAACACACAGAGTCCTGACGACACAGAGTCCTGAAGACACAGAGTCCTGTGTGTGTGTGTGTGTGTGTGTGTGTGTGTGTGTGTGTGTGTGTGTGTGTGTGTGTGTGTGTGTGTGTGTGTGTGTGTGTGTGTGTGTGTGTGTGTGTGTGTGTGTGTGTGTGTGTATGTGTGTGTGTGTGTGTGTGTGTGTACCTGGGGCAGATGCAGAGGACTGTGTCCCCTCAGTTTCACTGGGCATCACGTCCTGAGGTTAAGGAGGAAGTAACCTCACCAAGCTCCCAAAACCACACCAAGCTCCCAAAACCTCACCAAGCTCCCAAAAACCTCACCAAGCTCCCAAAAACCGAAATAATGATAACATCTTGTCTTTCCCTCGGTGGCTGGCTGGCTGGCTGGCTGGCTGGCTGGCTGGCTGGCTGGCTGGCTGGCTGGCTGGCTGGCTGGCTGGCTGGCTGGCTGGCTGGCTGGCTGGCTGGCTGGCTGGCTGGCTGCTGAGGGTGAAGGGTATGAGGGGATTCCCACGCTCATGACTCTTTCTACACAAGGGTCTTGTGTCCTAAATGGCACCCTATTCCCTATTTAGTGTACTACTAGTAGTGCACTACTTAGGGGATAGGGTGCCATTCGGGGAAACATCCACTGCCTGTCCACATTACTCTTCTGTTGTTGATGCCAGGGTGTAACAGCACCCTCAGCTAGTAACCTTTAACCTCTTCTGACTGGCAGACACAGCCCCGTGTTGCACACACACACCTCACCAATGTCATCAGCAGGCTCTCTGCTTGACAGACAGACAAAAGGACTCCCCTGGCATGTGTGGTGTGTGAAAATGTTAAATTAAAGGCAATACTTATTTTCATTTTATACCTCTGAATATGAATAATAATATAAATCCTCTGAATTGTAATAATACTGTAAATACTCTGAATAGTAATACTAATATAAATCCTCTGAATTGTAATAATACTGTAAATACTCTGAATAGTAATACTAATATAAATCCTCTGAATTGTAATAATACTGTAAATACTCTGAATAGTAATACTAATATAAATCATCTGAATTGTAATAATACTGTAAATACTCTGAATAGTAATACTAATATAAATCCTCTGAATTGTAATAATACTGTAAATACTCTGAATAGTAATACTAATATAAATCCTCTGAATTGTAATAATACTGTAAATACTCTGAATAGTAATACTAATATAAATCCTCTGAATTGTAATAATACTGTAAATACTCTGAATAGTAATACTAATATAAATCCTCTGAATTGTAATAATACTGTAAATACTCTGAATAGTAATACTAATATAAATACTCTGAATAATAATAATAATACACTGAACAAAAATATATACACAAAAAGCTTATTTCTCTCAAATGTTGTGCAGAAATGTGTTAACATCCCTGTTAGTGAGCATTTCTCCTTTGCCAAGATAATCCATCCACTTGACACGTGTGGCATATCACAAAGCTGATTAAACAGCACAATCATTACACAGGTGCACCTTGTGCTGGGGACAATAAAAGGCCACTCTAAAATGTGCAGTTTTGTCACACAACACAATGTCACAGATGTCTAAAGTTTTGAGGGAGCGCGCAATTGGCATGCTGACTGCAGGAATGTCCACCATTATTTTATTTTATTTCTCTACCATAAGCCGCCTCCATCTTTGTTTTAGAAAGTTTGGCAGTACGCCCAACCGGCCTCACAACCGCAGACCTCTTGTAGCCACGGCAGCCCAGGACCTCCCCAGACCTCTTGTAGCCACGGCAGCCCAGGACCTCCCCAGACCTCTTGTAGCCACGGCAGCCCAGGACCTCCCCAGACCTCTTGTAGCCACGCCAGCCCAGGACCTCCCCAGACCTCTTGTAGCCACGCCAGCCCAGGACCTCCCCAGACCACGTAGAACCACGCCAGCCCAGGACCTCCCCAGACCACGTAGAACCACGCCAGCCCAGGACCTCCACAGACCACGTAGAACCACGCCAGCCCAGGACCTCCACAGACCACGTAGAACCACGCCAGCCCAGGACCTCCACAGACCACGTAGAACCACGCCAGCCCAGGACCTCCACAGACCACGTTGAACCACACCAGCCCAGGACCTCCCCAGACCACGTAGAACCACGCCAGCCCAGGACCTCCCCAGACCACGTAGAACCACGCCAGCCCAGGACCCTCCCAGACCACGTAGAACCACGCCAGCCCAGGACCTCCCCAGACCACGTAGAACCACGCCAGCCCAGGACCTCCCCAGACCACGTAGAACCACGCCAGCCCAGGACCTCCCCAGACCACGTAGAACCACGCCAGCCCAGGACCTCCCCAGACCACGTAGAACCACGCCAGCCCAGGACCTCCCCAGACCACGTAGAACCACGCCAGCCCAGGACCTCCCCAGACCACGTAGAACCACGCCAGCCCAGGACCTCCCCAGACCACGTAGAACCACGCCAGCCCAGGACCCCCAAACCCCCCCCAGGACCTCCCCGACCACGTAGAACCACGCCAGCCCAGGACCTCCCCAGACCACGTAGAACCCACGCCAGCCCAGGACCTCCACAGACCACGTAGAACCACGCCAGCCCAGGACCTCCCCAGACCACGTAGAACCACGCCAGCCCAGACCTCCCCAGACCACGTAGAACCACGCCAGCCCAGGACCTCCCCAGACCACGTAGAACCACGCCAGCCCAGGACCTCCCCAGACCACGTAGAACCACGCCAGCCCAGGACCTCCCCAGACCACGTAGAACCACGCCAGCCCAGGACCTCCACAGACCACGTAGAACCACGCCAGCCCAGGACCTCCCCAGACCACGTAGAACCACGCCAGCCCAGGACCTCCCCAGACCACGTAGAACCACGCCAGCCCAGGACCTCCACGCCAGCCCAGGACCTCCACGCCAGCCCAGGACCTCCAGATCCGGCTTCTTCACCTGCGGGATGGTCTGAGACCAGCCTCCCGGACAGCTGATGAAACTAAGGAGTATTTCTGTCTGTAATGAAGCCCTTTTGTTGGGGAAAAATGTAATTCTGATTGGCTGGGCCTGGCTCCCCAGTGGGTGGACCTGGCTCCCCAGTGGGTGGGCCCCACCCTGGCTCCCCAGTGCCACCCACCCTCCCAGGCCCACCCATGGCTGCGCCCCTGACCAGTAGATTAGGGCCTTATGTATTTATTTCAATTGACTGATGTCCTTATATGAAATATAACTAAGTAAAATCTTTGAAATTGTTGCATGTTGCAAATATATTTTTAGTCAGTATAGATAACAATACATAAAAAATGTATTATTTTAAATGTAAAGGAAAAGTAGCTTCAACAAGTATACTTGTTTGAAATTGATTTACTATACTCGTACAAATGGTAAAAACAGAACTTGAAGTTACTAGGCACATTTTACTAAATAATATACCATAGTTACTTATATTATCATCATAACATATGGAGTTAAACTGTCATAATAACATATGGAGTTATACTGTCATCATAACATATGGAGTTATACTGTCATCATAACATATGGAGTTATACTGTCATTATAACATATGGAGTTATACTGTCATTATAACATATGGAGTTATACTGTCATCATAACATATGGAGTTATACTGTCATTATAACATATGGAGTTATACTGTCATCATAACATATGAAGTTATACTGTCATCATAACATATGGAGTTACACTGTCATCATACCATATGGAGTTATACTGTCATCATAGCATATGGAGTTATACTGTCATCATAGCATATGGAGTTATACTGTCATCATAACATATGGAGTTATACTGTCATCATAACATATGGAGTTATACTGTCATCATAGCATATGGAATTATACTGTCATCATAGCATATGGAGTTATACTGTCATCATAACATATGGAGTTATATTGTCATCATAGCATATGAAGTTATACTGTCATCATAGCATATGGAGTTATACTGTCATCATAACATATGAAGTTATACTGTCATCATAGCATATGAAGTTATACTGTCATCATAGCATATGGAGTTATACTGTCATCATAACATATGGAGTTATACTGTCATCATAGCATATGAAGTTATACTGTCATCATAGCATATGGAGTTATACTGTCATCATAACATATGGAGTTATACTGTCATCATAGCATATGGAGTTATACTGTCATCATAACATATGGAGTTATACTGTCATCATAGCATATGGAGTTATACTGTCATCATAACATATGGAGTTATACTGTCATCATAGCATATGGAGTTATACTGTCATCATAGCATATGGAGTTATACTGTCATCATAACATATGAAGTTATACTGTCATCATAGCATATGGAGTTATACTGTCATCATAGCATATGGAGTTATACTGTCATCATAACATATGGAGTTATACTGTCATCATGACGTATGGAGTTATACTGTCATCATAGCATATGAAGTTATACTGTCATCATAGCATATGAAGTTATACTGTCATCATAGCATATGGAGTTATACTGTCATCATAACATATGGAGTTATACTGTCATCATAGCATATGAAGTTATACTGTCATCATAGCATATGGAGTTATACTGTCATCATAACATATGGAGTTATACTGTCATCATAGCATATGGAGTTATACTGTCATCATAACATATGGAGTTATACTGTCATCATAGCATATGGAGTTATACTGTCATCATAACATATGGAGTTATACTGTCATCATAGCATATGGAGTTATACTGTCATCATAGCATATGGAGTTATACTGTCATCATAACATATGAAGTTATACTGTCATCATAGCATATGGAGTTATACTGTCATCATAGCATATGGAGTTATACTGTCATCATAACATATGGAGTTATACTGTCATCATGACGTATGGAGTTATACTGTCATCATAACATATGGAAGTTACACTGTCCTCATAGCATATGGAGTTATACTGTCATCATGACGTATGGAGTTATACTGTCATCATAACATATGGAGTTATACTGTCCATCATAACATATGGAGTTATACTGTCATCATAACATATGGAGTTTATACTGTCATCATAACGTATGGAGTTATACTGTCATCATAGCATATGGAGTTATACTGTCATCATAACATATGGAGTTATACTGTCATCATAGCATATGGAGTTATACTGTCATCATAGCATATGAGTTATACTGTCATCATAACATATGAAGTTATACTGTCATCATAACATATGGAGTTATAACTGTCATCATAGCATATGGAGTTATACTGTCATCATAGCATATGGAGTTATACTGTCATCATAGCATATGGAAGTTATACTGTCATCATAGCATATGGAGTTATACTGTCATCATAGCATATGGGAGTATACTGTCATCATAGCATATGGAGTTATACTGTCATCATAACATATGGAGTTATACTGTCATCATGACGTATGGAGTTATACTGTCCATCATAACATATGAAGTTACACTGTTCATCATAGATATGGATTATACTGTCATCATGACGTATGGAGTTATACTGTCATCATAAACATATGGAGTTATACTGTCATCATAACATTGGATTATACTGTCATCATAACATATGGAGTTATACTGTCATCATAACGTATGGAGTTATACTGTCATCATAGCATATGGAGTTATACTGTCATCATAACATATGGAGTTATACTGTCATCATAGCATATGGAGTTATACTGTCATCATAGCATATGGAGTTATAACTGTCATCATAACATATGAAGTTATACTGTCATCATAACATATGGAGTTATACTGTCATCATAGCATATGGAGTTATACTGTCATCATAGCATATGGAGTTATATGTCATCATAGCATATGAAGTTATACTGTCATCATATGCATATGGAGTTATACTGTCATCATAGCATATGGAGTTATACTGTCATCATAACGTATGGAGTTATACTGTCATCATAACATATGGAGTTATACTGTCATCATAACATATGGAGTTATACTGTCATCATAGCATATGGAGTTATACTGTCATCATAGCATATGGAGTTTATACTGTCATCATAGCATATGGAGTTATACTGTCATCATAACATATGGAGTTATACTGTCATCATAGCATATGGAGTTATACTGTCATCATAACATATGGAGTTATACTGTCATCATAGCATATGGAGTTATACTGTCATCATAGCATATGGAGTTATACTGTCATCATAACATATGAAGTTATACTGTCATCATAGCATATGGAGTTATACTGTCATCATAGCATATGGAGTTATAACTGTCATCATAACATATGGAGTTATACTGTCATCATGACGTATGGAGTTATACTGTCATCATAGCATATGAAGTTATACTGTCATCATAGCATATGAAGTTATACTGTCATCATAGCATATGGAGTTATACTGTCATCATAACATATGGAGTTATACTGTCATCATAGCATATGAAGTTATACTGTCATCATAGCATATGGAGTTATACTGTCATCATAACATATGGAGTTATACTGTCATCATAGCATATGGAGTTATACTGTCATCATAACATATGGAGTTATACTGTCATCATAGCATATGGAGTTATACTGTCATCATAACATATGGAGTTATACTGTCATCATAGCATATGGAGTTATACTGTCATCATAGCATATGGAGTTATACTGTCATCATAACATATGAAGTTATACTGTCATCATAGCATATGGAGTTATACTGTCATCATAGCATATGGAGTTATACTGTCATCATAACATATGGAGTTATACTGTCATCATGACGTATGGAGTTATACTGTCATCATAACATATGAAGTTACACTGTCATCATAGCATATGGAGTTATACTGTCATCATGACGTATGGAGTTATACTGTCATCATAACATATGGAGTTATACTGTCATCATAACATATGGAGTTATACTGTCATCATAACATATGGAGTTATACTGTCATCATAACGTATGGAGTTATACTGTCATCATAGCATATGGAGTTATACTGTCATCATAACATATGGAGTTATACTGTCATCATAGCATATGGAGTTATACTGTCATCATAGCATATGGAGTTATACTGTCATCATAACATATGAAGTTATACTGTCATCATAACATATGGAGTTATACTGTCATCATAGCATATGGAGTTATACTGTCATCATAGCATATGGAGTTATACTGTCATCATAGCATATGAAGTTATACTGTCATCATAGCATATGGAGTTATACTGTCATCATAGCATATGGAGTTATACTGTCATCATAACGTATGGAGTTATACTGTCATCATAACATATGGAGTTATACTGTCATCATAACATATGGAGTTATACTGTCATCATAACATATGGAGTTATACTGTCATCATAGCATATGGAGTTATACTGTCATCATAGCATATGAGTTTATACTGTCATCATAGCATATGGAGTTATACTGTCATCATAACATATGGAGTTATACTGTCATCATAGCATATGGAGTTATACTGTCATCATAACATATGGAGTTATACTGTCATCATGACGTATGGAGTTATACTGTCATCATAGCATATGGAGTTATACTGTCATCATAACATATGGAGTTATACTGTCATCATAGCATATGGAGTTATACTGTCATCATAGCATATGGAGTTATACTGTCATCATGACGTATGGAGTTATACTGTCATCATGACGTATGGAGTTATACTGTCATCATGACGTATGGAGTTATACTGTCATCATGACGTATGGAGTTATACTGTCATCATGACGTATGGAGTTATACTGTCATCATAGCATATGGAGTTATACTGTCATCATGACGTATGGAGTTATACTGTCATCATGACGTATGGAGTTATACTGTCATCATGACGTATGGAGTTATACTGTCATCATGACGTATGGAGTTATACTGTCATCATAGCATATGGAGTTATACTGTCATCATAACATATGGAGTTACACTGTCATCATGACGTATGGAGTTATACTGTCATCATGACGTATGGAGTTATACTGTCATCATAGCATATGGAGTTATACTGTCATCATAGCATATGGAGTTATACTGTCATCATAGCATATGGAGTTATACTGTCATCATAGCATATGGAGTTATACTGTCATCATGACGTATGGAGTTATACTGTCATCATAGCATATGGAGTTATACTGTCATCATAACATATGGAGTTATACTGTCATCATAACATATGGAGTTATACTGTCATCATGACTATGGAGTTATAACTGTCATCATAACATATGAGTTATACTGTCATCATAACATATGGAGTTATACTGTCATCATGACGTATGGAGTTATACTGTCATCATGACGTATGGAGTTATACCTGTCATCATAACATATGGAGTTATACTGTCATCATAACATATGGAGTTATACGGTCATCATGACGTATGGAGGTTATATACTGTCATCATAAACATATGAAGTTATACTGTCATCATAACATATGGAGTTATACTGTCATCATGACGTATGAGTTATACTGTCATCATGACGTATGGAGTTATACTGTCATCATAACATATGGAGTTATACTGTCATCATAACATATGGAGTTATACTGTCATCATAACATATGGAGTTATACTGTCATCATAACATATGGAGTTATACTGTCATCATAACATATGGAGTTATACTGTCATCTAACATATGGAGGTTTACTGTCATCATAACATATGGAGTTATACTGTCATCATAACATATGGAGTTATACTGTCATCATAGCATATGGAGTTTATACGTCATCATCACATATGAGTTATACTGTCAATCATAACTATGGAGTTATACTGTCATCAAACATATGGAGTTTATACTGTCATCATAACATATGGAGTTTATACTGTCATCATAACATATGGAGTTATACTGTCATCATAACATATGGAGTTATACTGTCATCATAACATATGGAGTTATACTGTCATCATAACATATGGAGTTATACTGTCATCATAACATATGGAGTTATACTGTCATCATAGCATATGGAGTTATACTGTCATCATAACATATGGAGTTATACTGTCATCATGACGATGCAGAGTGGATCAGTGGGACTGGGACTTCATTAGCATCAGAACAACATGAAGACACTGCTGCTGCTGCTGCTATGGTAACCAGTTACAATGAAACACCTGAATTAGACTGACGATTGAGTGGAGCAGTAAAGTAAGACACAGAAAACTTCTTCCTGAAAACCAGAGGAAAACATCACAGCGATAACACTGTAAACACAGAGCATTGGTATAGTGATGGAATGGGTGTGTGTTCTGGTGCTGCCAACATTTAGAGCCATTTGTTGGGTAATGACCTGCAAACAGCTGTGTAGCTGTAGGGATTAGGTCATATCAGTGAGTTTTCTATCAGTGTCTCTGGGGATACACTGGATACACTGGATGACAACGAATGATTTCCCATTACACATGTAATGTCCCCATTTCCCCATGACTAGTGACACCCTATAGGACTGTGTGCAGGCATAATATCCATTTCGATGCTGGCTGACAAGCAATTACTTCCCATTAAAATGTTAATGTTATTCCCATGTCTTTATTCCCATCTCTGTATTCCCATCTCTGTATTCCCATGTCCAGGCCTGTGTGTGTAAATCTGGTGTTTGTTTATGTACCTTTGTGTTAACAGGGAGTCCCGTTGAGACCAAGGTATCTTTTGTAAGGGAGCCCTGCATCTTACAATTACACAATAAATTACACATTGGGGCGGCAGGTAGCTTAGTGGTTAAGAGCGTTGTGCCAGTAATCGAAAGGTCGCTTGTTCTAATCCCCGAGCCGACTAGGTGAAAAATCTGCCGATGTGCCCTTGAGCAACGCAAGGCACTTAACCCTAATTGCTCCTGTAAGTCACTCTGGCTAAGAGCGTCTGCTAAATGACTAAAATGTAAAAATGTAATACAGCAGAATATAAAAATACAAAGATAATACAAAAATGGTGTGTACTAATTGATCAGGGATGCTGATTGGCTCCTTTAATAATATGAAGGTTTGGAAACCCTATTGATCTGCAGAAATATGCCATTTGTGATTCATATGAACACAACAGCAATTGGATCAGGTAGGCAGGCCCTAACTATGGTCTGCCTATCAATTTAAGAATTGAATATGTGCAGAACTCTGAAGGCAGAGGAGCACGGCGGTGCTGTGGCGGCACAGAGCTGTCCTCTCAACACCATGCTATATGAATGTCCCTCAACGCTGTGGCCCTACTACCCACATGGTCAGAATATATGAGAAGTAGAGCGTTTGGTGTAGCGGTATGGAGCTGTCCTTTCAGCACCCAGCACTGCTGAAGCCATGTGGTCGGTAGCTGTGCTGGGAAAAGGAGGGAGCTGTCCTTTCAGCACCAAGCACTGCTGAAGCCATGTGGTCGGTAGCTGTGCTGGGAAAAGGAGGGAGCTGTCCTTTCAGCACCAAGCACTGCTGAAGCCATGTGGTCGGTAGCTGTGCTGGGAAAAGGAGGGAGCTGTCCTTTCAGCACCAAGCACTGCTGAACCATGTGGTCGTTAGCTGTGCTGGGAAAAGGAGGGGAGCTGTTCTTTCCGCACCAAGCACTGCTGAAGCCATGTGTTCGGTAGCTGTGCTGGGAAAGGAGGGAGCTGTCCTTTCAGCACCAAGCACTGCTGAAGCATGTGGTCGGTAGCTGTTGCTGGGAAAAGGAGGGAGCTTCCTTTCAGCACCAAGCACTGCTGAAGCATGTGGGTCGGTAGCTGTGCTGGGAATAGGAGGGAGCTGTCCTTTCAGCACCAAGCACTGCTGAGCATGTGGTCGGTAGCTGTGGCTGGGGAAAGGAGGGAGCTGTCCTTTCAGCACCCAGCACTGCTGAAGCCATGTGTCGGTAGCTGTGCTGGGAAAAGGAGGGAGCTGTCCTTTCAGCACCAAGCACTGCTGAAGCCATGTGGTCGGTAGCTGTGCTGGGAATAGGAGGGAGCTGTCCTTCAGCACCAAGCCACTGCTGAAGCATGAGGTCGGTAGCTGTGCTGGGAATAGGGGGAGCTGTCC